TGCTTGGAGCAACCTGCTCTAGTGGAAGGTGTCCCTGCCCGGGGCAGGGGTTGGAACTGGAAGAGCTTTATGGTCCCTTCAACCCAAACCAGGCTGGGATTCCATGACCTTGAATCTAACATCTTTTTATTTCATTATTTATTTTAGGAAATACTCCGTTACATCTTGCTGTGATGCTGGGACATAAAGGTAAGTAGAACCATCAATTTTGTTGGCTTTTAAATTATCCTGAAGAGCTGGGGCAAGAATTAAAAAGGATTTTTCATTTTTCCTTCATGTGATCTTGTGTTTCAAGGTGGTTGAAAGCTGAAGTTTTCTGAAAAGAAGCCACCATGTGAATTTAGAAGGGGGAGGTTGGAGAAGACATCAGAGCTGTTCTTCAGGCCAAGACCCAGGAGCTGGGTAGTGAATGGGGTGCAGTGGAAAGGAGTTGTAGGTGTTGAACTCTTCATGAGCCTAGACAGGAACAGTGGTGGACCCAGCTCCTCTCTTCTTGCAGAGTTAGGAGGAAATTGGGAAATTTGGAACATGGTAGAAGATTGAGAAACAGCTCAAAGCAGGGGCATGCAGCAGGGGCAAGCATCTGCACGCCTGCTTCCCCTTTCATATCCGAGCAGCTGAAGTGGAGGGATGCACTCAGTATGTGTAGGCAGGGGACTTGATCCAGGCAGATCTCTATCTTACTCTGCAATTAACGCATGTGTGGGAGGATTCCTGATACCTGTTTGTGTGGTGATACCCTTTCTTTTAGTCAACACTGTTCTGGTTATTAGTGTGTTGCTGTTATCAGTGTGTTGCTGATCTGCTCACTAGAGGTGTCTAATAACCTCATTTAGTTTATGAAGTGAATCAGAGTAACATCCTCTAGAATAAAATGACTCTGTGAGTGGAAATGGAACCTCTCACCTATGTTTTGCATACACCCTCACTCACTGGATTGGAATTCCTGACTCACTGCCTAGCTGTCCCTTGAGGTGTCAGACAGCCCTGCAAGGAGCATGGGACAGGTACAGGGCTGTTGATTCTCCATGGCTCTCATCTTTCCAGATAGCCTTCAAGGTGCTCTTTACAGCAGAATTTCAAGGCACTGGATTTACATTCCTACTTCAAATAGGAAGTATAGATGTAGACATGTATCAAGACTGTGACGTACCCTGGAGCATGATTGTTCAGTGTTTGTGGCAGTAAAATTTCCCTGCTGTTTTGCCATTCAGCCCTGTGAGTCCTGTGCCCGGTACATGGTACTGCTCTGTGAGAGAGCTACTGTGAACAACACACCTGGCAGGTTTGGAGAGGGGAATGCAGGAAGTGCAATAAGTTGTCTTAGGACGTTTTGGGAACACCTATGAAGTGATCCAAGTTAATTGAGAGTTAGAGCAGGAAGTGATTTTGAAGGAAGAAGGGGAGAGAGGTGACATATGGAGAAGAAGCAGCAATAGAGCTTGCTGGAATCTGCTGATACTGGTCCAGGCTGGGGTACTTTAGATTAAAAAAGGGAAGAAAAAGAAGCTATGCAAACACTTTTTGGGAGCAGTGAGGCAAGTATGTTTTACAAGTCACAGATAGGAGGTTTTTCAGCTGAGAAAATTGGGGTGTCATCAGAACTGCTGTTTTCCAGTGAGGGACCTAGGCTAGAGGCTTGGAGCAACAGAAGAAAACAGTGGCAGAAGCTTCTCTTTAATTTCTTAGCTTTGAATATGAGATTTTTCTTTGTAAGGTGCATTTCAGTTCTGTAACTACTCTGTGTTGTCAAGCAGTGGTGACCAGCAGCGTACATGACTTCTGCTGTGCCTTACGGCAGTGCTTGTTTCAGGCTTTAGTTTGTCACAGTCATTAGTTAATATTTACAAGTTTTGCACTGCTGGGGGTAGGAGGGGTTGTGTGGTTTTGGTTAAAAGGTGATTAGCTGTTGTGAAAGGACACATTCCATATAGCAACAACAGTATCATACCACATTGATGAATACAAACAATTCTGATCAAAGGTGCTTCAAATAAAACTGGTAGAAAAGCATTTGCCAACTTTAATCCAGTGTGGTTGACTGTTTATTCTAAGTCTTTCTTAAATTTTGGTTACTTTATGTTTCAGCTCTAGGATAAAGAGCAATCTATTCAGTGCAGACAGGTTCCTTCAGTGAGTTATCCTCATGTACTGCACAATGAGGAGAGAAGAGGCATTTCTTCCGTCTACTCCTGTTCTCCTTGACTGCATGTTTTAGATTTCAGTCTGCAGTTCACCTCTTGGCCTCTTTCCATGTAGTCAGTCATCCTGTGGGTAAAGCCCTGAATCCCTTAGGATGCGTGTGGTGAGCCTCTGTCTTGCTTGCCTAGAGCAGGGCTCTCTGTGCACAACGTCCAGCACAACTCCTGCATTTTCTGTTTCACCTTCAAATCCTGCATAGTTGCTGATGACCAAGAACCCGGGTCCTTTCCTACCTCATTGGTCTGTCTCATACTGAGGGTCAGTTTTGTGTCTTCCTGGGGTGATGCATGTAGACTGTTGAGCTGTGTGTAGCAGTGTTATAGCCAGTGTTTTCTGAAGTGCAGGGTGAATTTACATCCTGTTTATTTAACTGCAGTGTAATCTGGCTCCTAAGTGCAGGCTTATTTGCCTGCTTGCTGTGCAGTGCTGTTAATTGCATTTGGCACTATAGTTAAGCAACCATAAAGATACATCTCTGTGCCCACAAAGTAGTCAGGGCTTTTGTTTATTTACCACAGAAGATCGTATATTCACCAGTGAGGCATCTCTTCCTTCCCAAACACTGTGCTTGCTGGTGACTCATAACTGTTGCATCTGGAATGACTGGTATGGTTTCCTGTAACACCTATAGCAGGAACAGGAAGTTCCTCTATCCATCATGCCTGCCCATCCTATTCATAAGGAGACAATTCTTCAGCCTGCAGCTCCAGCTTGGACTGCAGTCATTTGCAGATGGGTCAGGTTGATTTTAATGAGATGTGGTGAGGAAACTTTCTGTAGCTGGAAACTGAAGAACGGTTTCATGTGAAGACAGCTTGTTCAAAACATGGAACACCAAAAGCTTTCTTTACTCCCTAATTTTAAGGGCTGTTTGTCATTCCACCATCACCTTTTATCCGTAGACAGAGAAGGGAATGCAGGTTGAGCTGTGACTCCACTAGGAACGTGTGTGGCTTTGAAGAGATGTAGAAGTTGCTTTATCAGCACAGCATGTGCCTTGCTGAGTGTCAGGGATGGCACTGATGCGCACTCCTGCTGGTGCTGCTGGTGAGAAATGGAGCACACTGCAAGTGTGCCTCTCCATTGATGGAGCACAGGACTGTGAGCTGTGTGCTCCAGGTATCCACCTTGTCAGTCCTACAGTGCCTGATACTTGTTGTGCAGCCGGTCATGCACATAGTCTGAGGCTTTCCTAGGTCAGTGAGCTTGTTTGCTCTCTTCAGATGCCACAGGATGTCACAGCACACAGTCATGTGTTAGTGCCACAGCTTCCCCTGCTACCCATACACACAGTTCTTGGGAGTTACCTGAAGTCTACATCAACCCAGTTACCTACTGACCTTTGGGTGAAGGGGGTTGAGATGGAGAGGAGGGGGTAGAATGTGCACAGCTTCCATGCATGGAAGACTGTGAAGTGTGTCTTGGTGCATGGATTTGTGCATTAACTAGAGCTGATGTAATATTTTACAAGCATTTGTTACATCGTTGTGTGTCTGTGTACACATTCAGAAATACAGCTTTATGAAAAGCAAAACACAGGAAGCAGAAGGGATGTTTCTTCAGTGGTCGTGTAATTGGTGGTTAATCACTGGTTATGTTTTTAGTGCTAGTGTTTATGAGGAAAGTGCTATAAATACATAAATGGGTTTTGTTTGTCTACAGTTTGACTCGGGATCCAGATACGTATTTTGATAAACTCTTTAATATATTGAATATCTACTACTTTTGCTTTATTATTGTTTCCTTTATTATGAATGATACACCTCCATCCGTGATGGTTACTGCAAATAATGATTACTGTTTTGTTACAGAATGTGCCCACTTGCTATTAGCCCATAATGCTCCAGTAAAGGTGAAAAACGCTCAGGGATGGAGCCCTCTTGCAGAAGCCATCAGCTATGGAGACAGACAAATGAGTAAGAGCCTCTGCTTCCCTATTAATTGGAAATTAAGGCCTTGTCCAGAACAGGAAGACAGCTTTTCAAGCTATGCTTTCTTAATAATATGCCTATTTTAGCTCTCTGGAGAGTTTATCTTAATCTTTTCTCTATCTAAGTATGATATGACAAGCTCTACACATGTCCATTTCCTTGATAAGAAAGAAATTGCATTAGGATATGTGATGCTAAGGAGAGTTAAGATTTTGCTTGAAGTGGTTGTAAAAGCTATAAAGTAGCATTCTTTATTTAAAATTGGAGTTACAAGGTCAGAATGGATTTTAGCTGTGTGGGATCATCTAATTGGAACTGCTCCATGTGATCATATGTATCAGTTATATAAAGATATGTATTGGATATAGATATATCAATTGGCAATGGGATATTGCTTTCATGTTGCATCTCAACAGACCAGTGGGCAAATACAGTAATCACTTACTGCAAATATGAAGTAGTAAAGAGAAAGTTATTTTACTGCTACTCACTAGTGGATGTTCATAGTATTTTGTATTAACATAGCAGAAAACTCATATCTATTACTGTATTAAAGCACTAGTTTGTAATATACTAACAACATTCTGCATGTCAGCTCCTCACTACTAAAGAAGTTCCTCAGTGGGAGCAGATCTCATGCAGTCTGTAGGCTCGTACTCAATAATACACGTGTACCACATGTTTGCTAACATGCATGTCAAAGACCTGTTCAAGGTTTTCAACAACCTTCTCACTCTTGACATGATTGTAACTTTTAAAATTCTAAGTAATTATTGAGTCTTTTCTTCCTGTTGTAATCAGAGAAGGCTGTGTATAATTAGCGTAACTTGATGTTGGTTTCTCCAAAGTCTGATGAAATGTTCCCTTTACATTGTTTTTTCTTAATATGTCAGATAATGACACCAATCATAGAAGCATAGAATAGTCAGGGTTGGAAAGGACCTTAGGATCATCTAGTTCCAACCCCCCTGCCATGAGCAGGGACACCACACACTAAACTATGTCGCCCAAGGCTCTGTCCGGCCTGGCCTTGAACACCTCCAGGGTTGCAGCTGTAACAACCAGCAAATAGAACAGATTTACCTGATAGTTAATTTCTTGTTAGTTTCAGCACTCCTAAGGAAGCTCAAACAGCAGTCCAGGGAAAGTGTTGAAGAAAAGCGACCTCGATTATTAAAAGCCCTGAAAGAGGTAAGTTAAGGCAGTTGTGCTGACAAAACCAGATCATGGAATCGTAGAATGCCTTGGACTGGAAGGGAGCTTAAAGCTCCTCCAGTTCCAACCCCTGCCATGGGCAGGGACACCTTCCACTGGAGCAGGTTGCTGGAAGCCTTCTCAGTTTCTAGACATTCCAGTAAAAGGTTTGTGTAAGACAGACCTGCCCGTCTTTGCAATCTAAAAGTTAAAGACTCTGTTCTTAATTTGTATTTATTTCATTAGATTTTTAAGGCTTTCTGGAATCTTTTGATGGGTGAATAATACCACCAAGAAATATGGAGAGGGACTTTTTCCAGGTGTTTATTTCCCTTTAGGTGGGGTGAGCTGCTCCTGCCAAGTGGTAAAATATGGATGGGTTTGTAGAAAACCAGCTATTTATCTTAAGTTAATGAACCCATGCATCTTAAAAGTTGAGTGAAACTGCATCCATGATACACTCTATGAATATGCTCTGCCAGTTTCCTGTATTTTTTCATTGATCCAAGAAGAAAACCAAACCTGCTGTGTGTCTAGGAGTGAAAAGCTTTCAGTTTTTGAGAAAGGCTGCGTCTGCTTTCTGCCTGCTCTCACACAAACAGCTCTGCCATTCCTTATTCCTGCT